CCTCCTCCTCCTCCTCCTCCTCCTCCTCCTCCTCCTCCTCCTCCTCCCCCACATACCCTACTCCCTTCTTGGATTGATGATTACCTAGTTGGGTAATGAAATGTCTACAAGAAAACAACTAAGAGACCCCACAGATGTAAATCTGTTGAACAGCCTATTTCATGGAGCTATAGAGACTCTGACATCCAGCAAATTTTATGGGAAGGCTTGAGGATTCCTGCTGGACTAGATGATTTCCAGTGTCACTTCCAACTCCAGGATTCTCCGATTCTACCAAGATGGAAACTAAATCAAGGAGAGAACAAACCTAGAAATAAGGAGAAATTTCTTGACCGTGAGAACGACTTGTCTCCAGAAGTTGTGAATGCGCCAACATTGTGAGATTTTAAAGAAGAGATTGGACAACCATTTGTCTGAAATGACATAGAGTTTCCTGCCTGAGCAAGGGGTTGGACTAGAGGACCTCCAAGGTCCCTTCCAAGTCTGTTATTTTGTTATTCTGTTATCTCAGCCCCACCCCTTCCCTACTGCTGGGTTGGTGTGTTTCCCCTGTGTATCTGTAGCTCATGGCCTTCTACGAACTCAGTTCCACTAAACTGCACAATAGCTCACCAAAGAACTTCCTGTAATGACCTTTTGCTCTGTTGCTTCTAGCAAACTGCTCCATTAGTCCATCTTAAAAAAAAGAATGGAAACAAAACAAACGCTTCCATTAAAGAGGAGAATTAAAGGATAATGGTGGAGGCTCTTTGTTTGTGGACAATGGTCCTCTTGATGGTTATCAAGATTGTGGGATGCTTTCTTTCCACAGTGTGCTAAATAGCTCCTTGCATTACTGGAACACAGGCTGTTTATTTAGCTTTGCCAAATGCTCAAAAGGTTAACGGTCTCTCTTTTGTTAGTAGCATCCTATCCTGCAGAAAGTCCAAAATTGGTCTGTGGATTACAAAGGGGAAAAGCTGGTGTCCCATCTTGGGATATTTTGTGTGGAAAGCTGTGATTGTGTCGGAAAATGTGCATTTTCGGACTTTATATTCCATGTCTGAGAGACATACTATAAAGGCCATTTGTCTACAGGAAGTCCGTGCTTCCTTTCTGGCTTTCTAAAAAGGAAAGAAAATGAAAATGAAAATATCTATCTATTGGCCTATTGTCTATAAGGACTCTTCCACACCATTTGACCATTATCATAGAAACATAGAGTTGAAAGAGACTAGAGAGGTCTTCTAGTTCAGGGGTCTCCAACCTTGGCAACTTTATGACTTGTGGACTTCAACTCCCAGAATTCCCCAACTGGCATTTCCTATAAAAGTCTTTGGTCCTATCACCAGGAGACAGTGAGTTCTAGTCCTACCTTAGGCATGAAAGCTGGTTGGGTGATTTTGGGCCTAGCACCAGGAGATGGTGAGTTCTAGTCCTGCCTTAGACATGAAAGACGACTGGGTGACTTTGGGCCAATAACTAGGAGACAGTGAGTTCTAGTCTGGTTATCGACTATAGAAGCATTTTCTTATCCTATAATATACAAGAAGGAACAAACAGTTAGATATGGGGAAATATTGAACGAAAAGGGTGAACTTAAATCAGTGCAAACTCTAGAGGAACAAGGTATAAAGATGAATTGGTTTTCATATGCACAAATACATTCAAGGTATGATAAAGATCTCAAAACAGAAGGATTCTATGACAAATTGACTGACTTAGATAAGATTTTGACAGGTACTGATGAAAAGGTGATTAAAAAACTGTACGGTTATTTATTAGAAATTAAACTAGAAGAAGAACAAGTTAAAGAAACAATGATTGCTTGGGGGAAGAATTTTGGATATGGGATTGATTTAGAGAAATGGCAAAAATTGTGGTCTCAAAATTATAAAATGACAATGTCAACAGCATATAAAGAAAATTTGTATAAGATGTTTTACAGGTGGCATTTCCCCCCGACAAGAATAGTAAGAATGTTCAAGAATAAATCCGAAAAATATTGGAAATGTCATCAGACACCTGGCTCATATTACCATATGTGGTGGACTTGTGCGGATGCTAGAAAATACTGGACCAGAATCCACATGTGGTTGGAAAAAATGACAAAAAAACATATAGATTTGAAACCAGAGATATTTTTTATTGGGAATTTTACCTGATACATATAGCAAAGATTTGAAATACCTGATTGTAAATGTATTAACAGTGGCTAGGATTGTATTTGCTAAAAACTGGAAAAATGAGAAAATACCATCGCAGGAGGAAATCATTAAGAAAATATTGGAATGTGCTGAAATGAGTAGATTGACATTTGAAATTAGAGAGCACGAGGATAAACAATTTTATCAAATTTGGGACCTTTTCTATCAATGGTTAGATAATAAAATACAATAATGAAATCTGTACAATCTTAGAAAATAATAAATATATAAAGATGTTTTTTTTTTTTACTATATCTATAAAAAACTTTTAGGATAGATTCGGGAAGATTATATGAATTGTTACAAAATGATACTAAGTAAATTATAGTTATCTTGCAAAATATGAATGAATAAAATTATTGTCAAGTGATTGATTAACAATGATACTAGGGTACCTAATTTTTGATTGAGAATATGAGTTAATATGCAGTGTAACTGTAATTGATGACTATGAAATGGATGCACAAAAAATTTGTAAACCAACCGGCCCACTGCTTGTATACTCATGGAAGAAAGGTTAATGTTTTTATGTTTTGTTTGTTTATGTTTGTCTTTAAAAATCAATTAAAAATTTACAAAAAAAAAGGAGAATAAGTCACTTTTCTTCTTTGTATTCTTACGAAAGAAACGCTATGATTAATGTCCCTGCAGCCATCAAGTACTGATCAACGATCTGGCTTCTTAGCACATGCTGATGGAGAAATCCGAGCTGATCAAATCTGCATAGTCCTTGCTTAGAAGATGATTGGATGGACATTGTAGAGTTGTAGCTAGACTGAATGGTTATAAAGAAGAAAAGAAGGAGAGAGAAAAAAAATCAAATCCCAGGAGGGGGGGAAGGCCAAACCACTTCCTTATTGTTGCAAAGAAAACAACCAGAAAGATATTTCCATGAAGTCACTAGGATATCAAACAGGCAACAAGTAGTCAAAATAAGGAGCGCTCTATCCAACCCTGAACCAGTTAACAGCGGTGTCCCCCAAGGCAGCATTCTAGGACCCACACTCTTTATACCAGTGGTTCACACTGGTTCGGGTGAACCGGTAGCAAGGATTTGGTGTGGGTCTCCGAACCGATAGTAACTTCTGGATGGCCATGCCCCCGACCCGGTCGCCCGGCTGCCGCTCACTTGCCCTGCCCGCCTGATGCTAGCCCGCCCAGTCATTTCTTAAGATATTTCTTTTTTTTCCCCTCCCGACAACCAGCTGTTCCTACAATCAGCTGTGCTGGGATTCGCCTCACGTATTTACTGCTTCGCCCAGGAGGCCTCCCTGAGGCCCAGGAAGGAAAAAAACAAAAAACAACCCTCTGCCCGTCCTCCTCCATTTTTTTTGCCTTCCTGGGCCCCAGGGAGGCCCCAAAACGAAGCGTGGGGGGGGAGCCTCCCCCAGGCTCAATTTTCTGCCTTCCTTTTGCCTTTTGGGAGCAAAAATGCCCCCTCAGGAGACTTGCCTGAAGCCCAGAAGGCCCCCAAAATGGGGGTGGGTGGGTGCTCCAAAAAAAGCCACGCCCTCTTAGTCACATGGCCACGCCCCCTAACCATGCACACAGAACCGGTAGTAAGAATTGTTTGAATCCCACCACTGCTTTATACTCTACATAAATGACCTTTGCAATTACCTTATAAGCAACCGCGTCCTCTTTGCTGATGGTGTAAAACTATTGAACACCACCGACAATGCTACTGTCCTTGATTATGTGTCTGAACGGTTGAACAATCGGCAACTTCAAATCTCGACCAACAAATGCTCTGTCTTACACATTGGCAACAAAAATCAGAACACGAAATACAAACTGGGTGGATACAACCTCATAGACAACCCTCCCTCTGTCAAGGACCTAGGAGTACTCGTATCAAACAACCTAAGCCCCAGAGCTCACTGTAACAGCATTGCCAAAAAGGCTTTAAGGGTTGTTAACTTTATTTTGTGAAGCTTCTTCTCCAGGAACATTGAATTGTTAACCAGGGCATATAAAAACCTTTGCCAGACCAATTCTTGAATACAGCTCATCAGTCTGGAATCGGCACATTAATGCAATCGAGCGAGTCCAGGGGTATTTCACAAGAACAGTCCTCCACTCCTCTGCTTGCAGTAAAATACTTGACGCTACCAGGCTCACAATTTTGGACCTGGACAACCTAGAACT